CCCCCCCCCCCCAACAACAACAAAAACACACACACGCACACAAAAAATCAAATTATTTTCATGAAAAGAAAGGATGTCATCAGCTACATACCCTAAGGTTTTGCATAATTCAAAAATAAAATAAATTTTCTGCGTATGTTGCAATTCTTATAGTTCTAAGAGCAACAAACCATGGTTTTGGGGGAACATTAATGTTATATGACAAGAACGTTATATAAGATGCTAACCTCTTTCTCACTAGCACTTCTTCGATGCACATCACCCATCTTCTCCGATATCATAGCTTCCTCATACATATCCATGGAATTCTACAACATTTACCAATAAAAGTATAATGAGGGACAAGTCAAATATGAAATAGGAAAAAGCAAATGAAGGTATGTAACAAATCAACTCCTAATTAACAAAAAACATACATTACTTTGAGTTTGGGTCCAGGTTCCCAAAAGCACAAGTAAACAATAATTGTTGATTTAAAACATCTGAGATCTTCTAGAGATGGGAGGCAAAAATCTTCTAAGAATGAAATGGACAAAATTTAGAGATCTAGAGAATCAACTTATGTGACGCAAACCTAACTATAGTAATTGCTCGTAAAGTTGTTTGTTATGATATTACAAACTAAAACCAAGCTTACGGGATAACAATAGCTGACTTTCATGCTATAAACATGGTTACAACATATATCTTCCAATGTATACCCAGTATATATAGATGGAGGAAACAGATAACAAAAATGGTATATGTTGAATTGTCGATACTAACATCTCCAATCATGGGCCACTTGTGGGCTAAAATTTAGTTTTCTGGTTCTGAACTGAGATTTGAATAGATTTTAAACATGTAGTTATAAAACAATCTCAATTACAATTAAGGCTAAAATGCAAATTTGGTCCCTGTACTAGGGCCTCATACTCAAATTGGTCCCTATACTTTCTTTTTTCTCAACTTGGTCCTTGAACCCTTATTAGATGTAAAGTTAGCCTTTTTTTAACTCTCCCTTAAAACTTCCATTAAATAACACTTGAAGACAAAATTACCCTAAATCTAAAGTTATGTATCAATTAATCATGTTTCCTTATTTTTACTTTTGGGAAGGTTTTAAATATCGGATATCAGGGAAATATCGGATGGCCAAAATTCATATCGGATTGCGGATATCGGGGAAATATCGGGGATATGTGGTAAATATCGGAATGCCACAATGAATGTTTGCATACATAGTATAATGCATTAAAATGTAATCTCAACATACGTAATGAAAATTTAAGCATACAAAATATGAATAATATATGTTTATGATCATTAATCAACCTTCTAAAACAAACAAAAGTGCAAAGCAACGTTACAACATTCCATTTGCTTTTTTTAGGGCAAAATGTTATTTGATATAATGGGGAAATCTTGATATCTCGCCCAAAAATTCCAAACGCGGTATATTATTTTGCAACAAGCTACATAAAAGATATATTGGTCCACATATCGGCTAATATATCGGCTATATCAGGGATTTATCACTCAAAATAGCTAAAAACGGTAAAGGATATTTAAAGACCATATCGGTTGCGACAAGCCCTGTAAAAGGATATATCGGGCCATGTCGGGGATATTTAAAACAATGACTTTTGGTTCCTCAAAAAAATTGATTACATGTTAAGACTTAGAAATTATTGGCAATGTTCATAACTGAAATTATTTCAGATTACATAAACAACTACCACCTGTTACCATGTGTTTTTTTTAAACACCCAATCTAATTTGGAGCATTTTCATTGAGGATTCTAACCTAAAAGAGAATTCAGGTATTGGATATATTTTTGCTCAATAAACAAAAACTCCTGATAAGTAAT